AAAGAGTCTGTTAAACCCAAACTGCCCATTTATACAATAAAATTTAATACGCAAGACTGCCACAAATCTTAAGACATGTTGATAATAGATCAAAATGTATTAAGGGACAATGAAACTCGCTGAGACACAAAGACAGATAAAACCACCACTAATGTGCACAGCTCATGGCAGAAAGTAAGGGCTAGTGGTGTTCTTCTAGAAGCTAAGAGTTGTCCTTTATATTGTCTCACTCATGAAGAAAAGCTTTGAAACATGTCTCTTTCTCACAAGCAATTCAGGTGGCACTATAACTCTTATGATGGGGAAATGCAAAAGTTTATGTTCAGGATAAGAAAGCATTTGCACAGTTATACTGTATGAATTTTTCAACCAATTAGAATAAACCACAAAATACCAGCCTTGGAGTTTTGAGGTAAAGAGGGACGGGATTATGTCCAATTTGGATTTAGAAGAAAAACAGTTTTAAGAGACAGAGACGCTAGAAAATGTCAGTCACTGGGGGCAGGCAGGCAAGTGAATAGATAGGCTCCACTCTGGAAGCTCATAAATCGTGACAGTCCATCTTTCCAGAAACTAAAAGCACCTTAGCTTCGAGAATCTCAGTGAGTCCCTACCCTCCAATCCAACTCACCTGTTTGCTGATTCCTAGAGTTACCTCAAGGGATAAAATTTAGTTCTTTAACTTATTCACCCCCAAGGTGCATATAAAGTTATGTGCTGCTTCCTTGTTTTCATGGGGAGGTGATCCAGAGTAGAAAGAGAAGAATTAGACTTAGACTTTGCTTCTGCTGAAAGGCAGCCTTGCTAACCTTTCAGGACGATAGGCAGAAGCACGTAGTTCTATTTCACTAAATTTAAGATTTGTTTTTTTGAACAGTCTGGAAGCCAGCAGCTATAATAAGGCGATCTATATATCTTAAATAATTGACCAACATTGAGGGGGCTAGAAGTCTGAATATCCTAGGCAGGAAATTAAGAACCCAAAGTCCAAAAGTCTTTTTACTAATAATTATTCTAATGCCATCTTCTAAAGGTATCTCATCAAGTGTTAGTGACTTTCTCCCAAAGTGAGAACACGGTAAGTTAAGTCCAGCTGAGCTTGGACACTGAACGATCTCATTCTAGAACTCAATGGCCTGTTGGCAAGAAATGCCTACTGCCTTTACATGAGACTGATGCAAACAGTCACCCACTTGCTTCCTTTCAGCTTTGATTCCTTTTTAGCAAGGCAGTCAGCCATGAGGTCCTTCCATTAGCTTAAAAACCCACTATCAGGGGTTCAGTAAATGGACAAAAATGAAGGCAACAACTGTCGCCCAGTAAAATTCTTATATGCACATTAACTTTTAATTTGTTTAAAACTTGTTATCAAACATTCTACTTTTGACATTAATCTTCCACTGTTATTACTCTGCCAAATTCCCTAACAGGCCAAGTGGAATTCATGTATGTGTATTAATAACTGTCATATAAGCGAAGCAGCTCTATGAAAGCAACACACAAAGCACATGGAACACACAACATGAAACTGATCTATTCTGCAGTGAATTTTATTGAATTCTTAAGCGG